AGGTCGCCATGACTTCCAGGCATGAGTGCAGAAACATGCACAAATGCAAAAATACAAAAACAAACGAACCAAAAAGCCTGAACACTCCCTAGAAGCTAAAACAACTACACGGACACTATCATACTTTGGTTGCTTTCTGAGAAGGCAAGAGTCACTGGAAAAGGCAATGATGCTAGGAAGAGACGAAGGCAGCAGGAAAAGAGGAAGACCCAACGAGAGACAGCGGCCCTCAGTCTGCAAGACCTGAAACAAGGCTGTAAATGACAGGACATTTTGGCCAGTCCTTAATTCATAGGACCACCATAAGTTGGAAGAAACTTGACACCACTTAACACAGGCACGCACCAGTTCCTTGATGACTCAGCGCTGTCCTGATTCGCTGGTATTTGGGATATAGATGAACCTTGGGGTTGCCCAGGGGTCATTTCGTAGAAAAAGAGGTGCAGGAGCTCATTAGCATAAATCATTAGCATACCTCATTTGCATACAACACACCCCGACATCACCGGAAGTGTGTCAGAAGGCAGCACCCACCGCTCAGGCTCCACTGGACTGTTTTGGATTGCTAGCTATTGGGGAGGGGGAATGTGCAGATCTGTCTTTGCAGAGGAGGGAGAGCTTGTACCTGAATAAAACTTGGTCTTAAAGGTGCCACTGGACTGTTTTGGGCTGGGGGGCCGGGGGGGGGCTCTGCAACTTACCTGGCTGCTTCTTGCGCTGACTGAGGGCTGCTGGGAGCAGGGGGTGGGGCTTGTTGCATGTGCCCGCCCCCTGGGCTCTTTACTGCCGGAGCTCCGCTCCTGTGCGCTCCTGCAGGAAATGACCCCTGTTGCCAGTTCTGAGTTGTAAAATGCCTGGAGATTTGTGAGGTGGAGCCTGAGGAGGGCGGGGTTGGGGGGGGAGACTTCAATGGGGCACAATGCCACAGAGTCCACCTTCCAAAGCAGCTGTTTTCTCCAGATGAACAGCTGGAGATCAGTTGTAATCCCAGGAGCTCTCTAGCCACCACCTGGGAGTTGCCAAAGGCAACCCTTAGCATATGAGTATAGCCAGGAGTAACACCCACCAAGCGAAGACCACCAACAATTCACAACTACATATGATCCAAACTATATATTACATTCACTGAAGTACAAAGATGGGTTAGTGGTCATAACTCAATGAAATATGCAAATATCTATCCAACAAACTGCTCACATCAATTACAGACTATTCGCAAAGAAGGAACTTGTTCAAATCCTCTGTAGTTCCTCTGTATGTCTCATATGTCAATAGCGCCTGTAGAACTGTAGAGAGCCAGTTTGGTGTAGTGGTTAAGTGTGCGGACTCTGATCTGGGTGAACCGGGTTTGATTCCCCACTCCTCCACTCACAGCTGCTGGTGTGACCTTGGGCAAGCTGTAGTTCTGTCAGAGCCCAGCTGGTGTCTAATGAGGGGAGGGGAGGGGAGGGGAGGGGAAGGGAGGGGAGGGGAAGGGAGGGGAGTTTGTAAGCCGCTCTGAGCCTCTGAATGAAGGGTGGGGTATACATCCAATCTCTTCTCCAGAACTCCAAATAGAAATAGCGGCAGAGGATGCCCACCATGGAAAGAATAACAGCCGCATGTCTCTCCCAGGTATAAATCAAGATGTTTCAATCCTCTTCAACTATTGATATATGGAACTAAAAAGGAAGCTGCTATTGGATTTGAACAAGTTATTTCTTTGCCACTAACCCTTCTTTGTATTTTAATGAAGTACTTGTTCAAATCCAACAGCAGCTTCCTCTGTAGTCCAATATATCAATAGTTGAAGAGGATCATATGTAGTTATAATCAGTGTTCCCTCTAAGCTGAGTTAGTGTGAGCTAGCTCACAGTTTTTTAGCCTCTGGCTCACACGTTTTTATCTTAGCTCAGGAAGGATGGCTCCAGAGCAAACTAACGTATCCAGTAGCTAAATAATCTGCTCACAACTTTAATGCTAGTAGCTCACAAAGGAGAATTTTTGCTCAAAGGACTACATAGCTTAGAGGGAACATTGGTTATAATCATACGTAGCTTAGAGGGAACATTGGTTATAATCATACGTAGTTGTGAATTGTTGATGGTCTTCCCTTGGTGGGTGGCTATAACCACCTGGAAGTTAGCAACCCCACTAAACATATGAAATACCCGGCAGGACAGTCTGGCCTGCTCCTTGCAACATCAGGAGGGCCACACAGGATGAATAAGGACTGTGGGTAAGTATTGTCATCTCTCTCAACCACGTCCTTCCTCGCTGGGTCCTGCAACTGTTTGATTTGAGCCATGACGAAGGGCTGGAGGGAAACTGCGTAGACAGGAGTCCTGCAGCACCTTAAAGATCTTTATTTATTTTACAAAATATATATCCCACCTTTCTGCCCTCACAAGGGCTACCAAAGTTGCTAACGATTTAAAACGGATATGATATACCATATTTCCCCCTGCCAGACACACAGACCATCACAATAAATACAGAGCTAAAATATATACAAACACGTAGCAGCAACTGAAACATTAGTCAGGAAGGAGGGTTTACGGGGAGGACACCAAGCGAAAGAAAAAAGTCTTCACTCGCTGGCGGAAGATGGCAACAGAAGGGGACAGGGGGGATCTCTCTGAGAAGATTCAGAGTTTTGTTGCCACGAATAAGAAGGTCCTCTCCTGGGTAGGTCCCCACCTAATCTCAGAAGGGAGGGGTACCCACAGCAGAGTTTCTGAAGACGACCATTGCGGTTGGGCCGGTTCATAAGGGAGTCAGTGGTCCTTCATTTGGTCCAAAAGATCAGGGCCACATGACTTTCATGGGCCTGGGCACTTTTGCTTTCATGGGCCCCTCCCACCATAATAATATCAATACTGAAAATTATTTTTGCTGTAACTTCAAATACTTCAACCGTTTACATTTTTCTGTTTCAGAGGAAAAAATTAAAACATAAAAGTCTGTTTGTTTTCTTCTGATTTTAAAATAAATTAAAACGTTTTCGTGGGCCCCTGAAACTATCGTGGGCCCTAGACACTGTGCCTACTGGATAAGTGGGCCCTGCAAAAGAGGACCATGTTTTTGTTCCAGCTTTTTTGTGGACGAAGCCTACTTTATCAGAGGCATGCAGGTGGTCCTTAGGAGACACGCTCACACGGTATGCCCACCTAGTATAAAAAGGTAAAGGTTCCCTTGCTCGAAAGCCAGTCGAATTGCGGTGCTCATCTCCGTTTCAAAGCCGAAGAGCCAGCGCTGTCCGAAGACGTTTCCGTGGTTATGTGGCCGGCATGACTAAGCACCAAGGCGCACGGAACGCTGTTACCTTCCCACCGAAGTGGTACCTGTTTATCTCCTTGCAATTTCTTGCTTTCGAACTGCTAGGTTGGCAGGAGCTGGAACTAGATATGGGAGCTCACTCCGTCATGCGGCACCCGGGTCTCGAACTGCTGAACTACTGACCTTCCACAGCCTGCAGTTCAGCGTCTTAACCACTTGAGCCACCGCAGCTCCACTACCTAGTATACTTCTTCCATAAACAATGCCTCAAAGGCTTATAGTTTGGATGGCAGAGTAAGTCACTTTGGTAGGGTTGGCTTCTCCTCTGCCCTGTTTCAGATCTTCCCTATCTGAGATACAATTTCTTTGGCTTCTTTCCTGTTACAATTTCTTTGGCGTAGAACTGTGGCCACTAAAGCTACCATCCTGATGATGTCATCTGTTCCCTTGTTAGATATTATGGAGAGCACTTATGTTGTACTGAATGTTTTTAAAATGCAGTTTTAATGTTTTATGTATTGGGCATTGGCCCCATCTGTACACCCCCCTGAGCCCTGAGCCACCACCCCATCTAGGGGGTGGTGCCTGAGCCGGCTTGCGGGGAGGGCAGGTTATAAATTTAAATAATAAATTGTTGCTGATTTTTGTTTTCGCACTTTAAAATTGTAAGCTCAGTGTCTACCGCAATCATTTTGCGCAGTTTTCAGTCTGCGCGGATTGAAAATATTTGGCTGCATTGACAGGTTTCCGTGCTGAGTCTGTGCGAGGAAAGGAACGACTATGACTAAGCAGAAGGACGTGCTGGTCGCACCGAGTTTCTCTTCCGCGGGAGTTCCGTGTACTGCAAAAAAGAAACAAACAAACAGGCTACTTATAGCGGTCAGAAAACCACGTGAACTCAATTTGTTCCAAATTTGGCGCATAACTTTTAAGCCTTTAAATAAATAAAGATAAACAAAATGAGTTCATGTTAATGCAGAACATTAGTACCTCTCCCACCAAAAAGATCTCCTTATCCCAGTTTTAGATCTTGCGTGTATTTAAACGTCTCAAAATGTATCGAGACATACAGAAATTGCTTCCTTTGACGTCATCCGCATTGCTCCTTCCTATCAGCCCCGCCCCACTAATGAAATTGTGGCTGGGATGTCAATCATACTCCGAGGGGCGGGGCATGAGAGCTGAAGAAAGATGGGGGCGGAGCAAACAGGTTAAATCCTGATACGGGGCGGAGCCATCCCAGAAGAACGACGGGGTGAGTTTGGAAGTTGCCCAATAGGATTGTAGTGTTTTTGTCACGGACCGGAGAAGAAATGAGCTCGGCCAATGGGCTTGCAGAACTGAAATCGTGCTAGGGGCCCGTGGCCTCTCTCAACCAATGAGAAAAACCAGTCCTGTCACGTGGGTTTTATCCCGACCTCAAAAATTAGCCACTCAACGGCGCTTTAGTGAGAGTGAAACGCTTGATTCAGAAACAGCCAATGGAAAAGACAGAAGAGGAGCACGTGAAGAGGGCGCAGTGAGGCAGCAGTTGATACGGCGCTATGGGACAAAAAGGGCGGGTCTGTTTCCAGGCCAATGGAAGAGGAAAGGTTTGGGCCAGGCTCTGCCTCTACCCACCAATCGGAGGGTAGAGATCCTCATTCCTCATCACATGACTATTCCCACCCGTCCTCTTCGTCACCAATCGGAAGCCGAGAAAGCCGTTTCTCACGTGATCGTAGTAGTCGGCGAGTGAGGGGCGGGGTCGTGCGCTACGGAAGCCGATCGGGAGGCGGAGTAGGCGGTTGTGCGAGCAACAGCGGGCAGCGATGGCTGCGGACGGAGAACGCTCCCCGCTGCTCCCGACGGAGTCCGGCGATGGGGGCAACTCCGGCGTCGGAGGCCTGGTGGGGCCCGCTGGGCTGATGACAGGCTCCGCCTCGAACCCACCGGGGAAGCCGACCCCTCCTCAGGGTGAGCCAAGCCACGCCCCTCATTAATATGCAGGAGGGGGGCGGTGATAAGTGTGGGGGGGTCACCGGTGGAAAAAATACTAGATTGTTGGCGGGGGGGGGGGGGAAAATTTAGCCCTCGGAGAGCGCAAATGAATTGGCTTGGATGCCCGGG